CAAACAAGTAGGAATAAGAAATAATATTCATATTCATAGACAAGAAAAAAAAGACCAGTGGATTGACTACCGCAAAATGGAAAGGTGCCTTCGGTTTATAATATAGAGAAGTCAGAAGCGAGCGGGATGGCGAGGAGGTTGAGCTTGATGGCCGTCACTGGTAGATGGTGGCCAATGGAGTTTGTAGTTGATGGAGGCTTACATAGTGGGGGCAATTGGTTGAGACCTTATATATAGCTCCAAAATAATAGGAATCATTCACCTTTTCTATATTTTTAGTCTCCAAACTAGTTTCTCTCCTCCCTTTCCTCACCATCAGTGCCATCCTTTTAAGACCAAAATCTCTCCCACTTTTCTCCTTCCTCACGGACAGTGCAATCATCCTTCCATCCCGTGAGTTCCTTCAATCCAGCCCGTGAGTCCTCATTCCCGCCAAACCATCATGCTGTACCCGTCCTCTCAATTTTAGAGCAGGTAAAGCGATGGAGAAAAAAAAAATACAAATACAAATACGACAACGTATATGATCGTCCAGCTGCTGAAGTTGTTTTTTAGTGATTTTTTCCGTAGCAAGAAAGCATTTTTTATTTTTTATTTTTAATAATACTTATTGGTAAAAATGAGTGTTTTAAAAAAAAAGACAAAAATATACCGGTCAAAATAGGATGTTATTTGAAATTAAAAGTATTGATGTGCAGATAATGTTTCTATTATTTTAATATATGTTAAATTAAAAGTCCAAGATTTTGACATTCGACTGTCCTCATGCATATACCGGCCATTCTCTTTAGCCATATGTTTGTATCCTCTCTCTTTTAATTACTTATAAATATAAGTTAGGTTAAATAGGTTTTCAGAAAAGTTCTTATAATGAAAAGCTCTTTTTTTATAATGAAGAAAAAAGATAAAAGTTAAAAACTTCTAAAAGGAGCTTTTTTTAAGCTCTTGTATGTTTTTCTTGAATTGTGTATTTTTTTTTTAAAATGAAGAGCAATAAAGGTAGAGAAAGAGATAATTTTTTTGAAATATGTGTTTTTAAATAACTTTTAAGCTAAAATTTTTATGTAATTACCAAACAACTTTTAGCTTTTCTTTTTAAGCTCTTTGTTGTAGCTTTAGCTTATAAGTAGTTTCTAACTTAAAAAAAGAGGAACCAAACAGGCTCTTAAAAGTGCTTATTTGAAATAAGTTTACCAAACATACATCTTTGTTAACTGCCTCCCCATTATTTTCAGGTTCAATTCCATGTGATCACCCCGCAAATATAGCATAGACTTAGTTCTTTGTTTAGGGTTGTTTTGCGTTCATGCAGTTTTAGTCTTTGCTGTAAGCTTAGATGTACGATATTATTTTCCTAGTAGCGTATATCCTAGTTTTGAGGATTACTCTTATAAATTGAAGTAATCTAATTTCCGATTTATTGATTTGGTCGTCCAAGAGGAGCCTATGGCAGGGATTAGACCCGTCTGACAATGGTATCAGAGCCGGGTTGGGCTTGAGCTAGCTTGGTGATTGACTAGAGGCAGGTTGGGTATTTGAGCCTAGGGTACTCGGAGAATAGGGGAGCAGATATACCAATATTGTGTTTCACACTTGAGGGAGAGCCTGCTGGGATCGATATTCAAGTGTGATAAGTCACACGTTGGTTAGTAATGAGTTAAGTGAAGTGCATATAAGTGGGAGGACCCATAAACTCAATGCCTTAAGATTTTAGGTTGAGACATTGCGTCAGACCCACTTAATATAGTGTGTAGCCATAGGTGGTGGTCGGTCCCCCGCCATGGGCTCCTCCCCTTGGACTTACCTAACAGAATTGTTGGAATGTTCAAGCATGATAAGTCTCACATTGGTTAGTAATGGGCTAAGTGAAATGCATATAAGTGAGAAAACCCATAAACCCAATGCCTTAGTGTTTTAAGTTGCGTCATGGTTTCAGACCCACTTGATATAGTGGTGTAGCCTTAGCCCATTAGCGGTGTCCCCCGCCACGGGCTCCTCTTGGATCTGTCTAACATATTTCTTATTTTTAGATGTTTATACAACAGTCACAAGACTGTTTAAACCAGGGTTGAGATTTGTTCAACAGAAGATATGCCTAAAAAAAAGTGTCAGATCAGCCCCGAAACAGCACCAAACCTCTGTTTGAAGTAATAGCTAATAGCTCACCTTACAGCCCAATCTGTTAAGTGAAGGATCTTTAATGATTTCCTATTATATCTTTTTAACACTCCCTCTCACCCAAGGGTTCTTTGGGATTGAAGTGTAGATATTATATAGGTTATTTTTCTTAATATCTTGTACTAATTTAATTTCACTAGAAAGTGGTGTTGAACAATAAAGTATACAACTTTTATTAAGTGAAACTCAAATTACAACTACTTTCACACACTTGAGCTTTACAAAGATAATTTTGAGTTACACCCACTCACTTTTACAATTTATTCTCTCAAGCTTACTTTCACTCTACATTCTTCTTTCTTTCTTCTTTTTCACTTGTTGTTTCTTCTCAATTGTTTCGAACTTAAGGCCTTTATTCCTATTTATAGTTTTCATATGAGATCTCTATATCCTTCTTCATCTTTCTTTGGCTTTACATAGTCTTTAGATTCTCCTCTTAGTTTCTTCATCCCTCTTGGGCTTTACAATGTCCCTAGATTCTTCTATTTGTTTCTTCATTCTTCTTTGTTCACCAATTCTAGAAAGATTAATACATGAAATTTTCTAGAGAACTCTAGTGAGTGAAGAAAAGAGTAGTTGGTATTCATTTCAATACTCCCCCTCAACGACAACTCTCTCTTACTATTGATCTAGCAATCCGACCAAGTTTCCTTTTGAACTCTTGAAGTTTCACACTGTTGAGTCCTTTAGTGAATAAGTCTGTAACTTAGCCTTCGGTCTTCATGTATTTCACCTTAATATGTTTTTATAACACTTATTCTCTAATAAAGTGATCACGCAGCTCCACATGCTTGGTCCTCGCGTGAAAGACCAGGTTCTCAGCTAATCATATGGCTGATTGATTATCATCGTAGAGGTCTTCTATATAATCAATAGGTTGATGTAAGTCCTTCATAAGTTGCATCAACCATGTACATTCTTGTGCTGCCATTGTTGCTGCCTTGTATTCTACTGCTTCTGTAGTTGATATATAATTACAAATGCCTAAATTGCAACGGACATTTGCGACGACCATCTAGTCGTCGCAATTTGCGACAGAATTCGTGGCCGAAGAACAATTGGGATGGAAATGTGTCAAAATTTTTGTCGCCAAAAGTGCCACTTCGAAGCAAAACCATCGCAAACTGCGACAGTCAAAACTTCCTTCGCAATAGTGGAATGTTTGCCAGGGATTTTTGCAACAGAATATTTTACGACGGGAAAATCGGTAGCAAACTAGGGGAGCAAGTTTTGCGACAAATGTGAATTTATATATATTGCAATTTGCGATGGATTTTGCTACGGAAGATTCGAATATGATTTGCGATGTTGAGAAGGAAAAGGGAAGTTTCAAACCCTTACTTGGATGCATGAAAGGTATGGTATGAAAATGAAAGCTCAAATCAAATCAAGGCACTAGCGGCCCAAGTCAGAGACCTGGAAGAAGAGGTCTTTGAGAGTTGAATCAAGAAGAGGGGTTTGTGGGGTTGAAATGAAATGGGTTTGTGAGGAGCGAAGGAGGTGGTGGAATTTTGGTTTTTTGAATGGAAAGTGCACAAAAGAAAGAGGCAGCGACATTAACGGCAACAGTGGCGGCGATGCTGCTCCAGTGACAACAGCAGACAATGGTGGCAGAGGGAGAAGAGAAGTGAGAGGCAAAGGTCAATGGGGAAGAAAAGGGTAGAAGGGGAAGAGAAATATGGGAGCTAATACAACAACTCTTTATCAGTTCTAATTTCACCCATATAGGCCTGATTAAATTATACAATATTTTAATGTATTAATGTATCTTGCTGTATAAGTTTATATTATACAATGGTCACACCAAACAATTGAAAATGTCATACTGTATAGCATAATCTTATACAATCAGGTCTTATACGTCATACTAAACGAGCCCTTAAAAGATAAAAAGTTAAGAGTAAAATCCTCTTCAACATTTCCTTATTAACTAAAATTCATCATCACCACATGGTTGGTGCAGGAATTGAATTAGTAGAGAATATATGGAAACAAGTTAAGGTAAAAATTAACAACAATTTGTATATGAAATCTTATTGGTGTTGGTATGAGCCTGTAGATCTTCTTTCTTCATTTGTTTAAGAAAGAATCCCAATTTGTCGATGCAGGCACAATTTTTGAGTTGAGCTTAAGTTGGAAAACTTGGACCCAACAAGGGACTATTTTTATTTGGAGTGGTAGGTTTATCAATTTTATTTTCTGTTTGGTTATAGTTGGATGAGATCCGTGGTTGAAAAAAGGGAAAAATTAATTGTCGTTGATTTCAAATTTATCTAACGCTAACCAAAAAGATAATAAAAATAATAAGACTAAAATTATAGTAAGTATAATCTTCCTTTACTGGGCTACAAAAATGAAATCCCATATTGCAAATATTAAAATCTTTTGTATGACTTATTTCTCTCTATCTCTCTATTTCTCTCTCCTTTTATCTAAATGCGGATGGGACGTTAAAAGTTAGGATTTCTTATAAGTTATCTAAATTTCTCACTGTTAGCATAAACATAATTAATCCTTCTATATACTCATTTCGTACTTACCTCAAACTTAAACTTATGATCCTTATTCTCATAAGCTTAACCTTTAAACAAGAGTACATAAGTGATTATGATGGTACCACAAGCCTTAATTAATATCCAAACATACAACAGATTATATGTGTTTCAATATGATCGAGTGCAGAGAATTCAAAGAATATATGTTGGTCCAACTTCTTACTACTGCTCGTTGAGCCCATCTTATTCACAAATAAAAATCATAAAACATAACATGAGATCATGGATCATGTTTCTTTATTTCTATCACTAACCACAGAAATTTTCTTAGACGCAAAAGGCATAAAGTGAAGTTCCGGAAGTGAGGTTTCCAAGTCCCAATGCGTTACCTATCTTATATCCATTTCCAAAATATATGCACCCATCACTAATGGACATTCCACCATACACTGTCGATCCAGTCTCATAAGACCACATAATTTCACCAGTCTTGCCATTTATTGCATAGACAGGTCCTTTAACATTTGCGGATCCCACAAAGACAATGCCATTAGCTACACTAACAGGACCAAAAGCAGTGGCATTACTTGGGTTGGCTATGGACCACAAGATCCTACCACTCTTTGCCTCCATTGCAACCCACCCTCCACTAGTTGTAGTCTTGTTGGATGGTAAAAGAGTAAATTTTTTGCCACCTAAATTAACAATGTTAGTGTAGACCCTTTCTTCGTCAGTGGCTGCTCCCCATGTTCCACCTCCTGTAACCCCACCAGGACCAGCTTCCTGCAAATTAAATATAAAATAATGAAAATTTTCAACGGACAACATGTATATAAAAGTCCATGGCTCATAAAATAAACATGAACATGGATCCTGCTCTAGAGAAAGATAATGATTAATGATATTCTTAAAAAAAATTTACCGTAGACCAAATGAGCTTGCCGTCATCTCGGTTCAATGCCCAAGTAAAACCACTCTTTTGTACAGCAACAACAACGTCTAGTTTGGTTCCATTTACATCAATTGGGAGCATCATTGGTGCTTCTCCAAAATCAGCGTCAGGGTTAGGACCTGGTGGACAATTAGGTGTTGACAAGTTATTGCAAACAACGAACCACACATCATATCCTCCTAATTGGTGGTACCATTTGATTTTACCACTATCCAAGTCAAGTGCAATGAATGATTCAGAGTGATTGTCTGGTTCAACACACTCATCGGGATGAGTTGGTCGAGTTAAATTATTCTCTCTTTCTTGACATTGGCGTATGTGCAAAGGGGCAGAGTACAAGTTTCCAGTGGCAATGTATATATGATTCCTTGAGACATCAATGGAAGGGCTACTTCCCCATATAGCTGCTCCAGCATATTCTCCTCGTTCTCCATGGTTATTAGGTAACATGAAGGTTTGCCACAAGATGTTACCAGATTGAATATCTAGCTTTGAGAAGCTTCCCCGAAAGGTGCAACATTCTTCAATACTGAGGGTTTCTTCTGCTGAAGATGTACCAACATAAAAGGCCCTGTACATATATAGGATGACCAACTTTTTCTTATATATATATATGACGAGATAATAATTATGTATTAACATGACCTACCTATCATATGATTAATATTTGTACTAAATATGATAACTGCGGCTCATCAACTGTACATGTATCGATCTATGTTGCACTAATATTTCAAAAAAAAATTATGTATCGTGTCCGATATTCCCTAACATCCCGATATTTCACGATACTCTGACACATTCCGATATCTATAATATTTGAAATTTCATTACATATCATAAAAAAATTGATCGATGTTTTACTAAATTGATATAATAAAAATTAAAATTGATACCAAATAAATCTCACTGGAATGTATAAAAGATTTTCAATTTGAAAATATAATAGTAAATATTTACATCTTATGTTCTATTGCAAAATTGATGGGTATTATAAGTTTAGTTTCATTTTTTGTTAAATTGTTGAATATTAAATATAATATACACTACATAAATTAAAAATATTATTTAATATCAAAATATGTCCTAACGTATCAAAATTTAACATTTTTTAAAATTTATGTGTTGGAGTGTCGTGTCATGTCATATCTTGTATCAGTGTCGGTGCTATATAGAAATCTATGATAACTATATGCATTCAACTACTTATTGACTTAGAAAACTAGTTGTTAACTTTCGAATAAGGATTGGTTATTTAATATGCGGAAGGATATATTTATCACCACAAAAATTTATCATTCTTACAATCAATCTAATCATCATTGACTTCCGTCAATCTAACGGTTATACTTTATTGAGAATTATTGGATCGTATTTATTAATTAATTATTAATTATCAATACAACCAATAAATTATAATTGTTAGATTGACGGGAATCAACGATGAAAGTGATAAATATTTTTAGTGGTAAATATATCTTATCCCATTTAATATTACTCTCTTTAGTCTTTAGAGACCTCACACCAAAAATTAAATGTAAATTAATCAGTTATACTTATACCACCAACGGAATTGTCGAACGCTACATAAAAATTTGTAAATTACATTTCATAGCAATATACTAAAAAGTCAACGTTTTATTTTTTCTGTCTTAGGTGCTTTTATCATTTAGAAACCCGTGAATTAGAAGATGATAAGTTTACTATAAATCAGTAATTTTATTTAAAAATAAACAAGATAATAGGTTTGTACCTATAACTTTTAAGGGGTTTGCATCTATTATGTCACATGACACATAAAAGTTTTTTACACACACATCATTTTGTGAGGCGCGCACTTTTTGAAGCAAAAAAAAAAAAAAAAACTAAAGCACACAAAACGAATCTCTATAATATTACAGTGTTACACAATCACTTTTCCTACAACATAACTCTTATAAAACCCAACCTTTAATAGCAAAATACCAAATACCTAATAGCTTTATAAACGCATCATTTATAAGAGCTAAGCACAGTATTGTAACAACTACAAAATCGGTAGCTATTCTCACTTAAAGGAGAGAAGTAAGAGAATGGGCTAGGTGGTCTATACATCAAGGTCTAAAACATGTCTTAAATGGCATAATTTTAATTATGAGTTTAATATTTATTTTTATTTTTTTAAAAAAAAATATTTCAATCGGTTGTTTCGCAACTAATTCGATTCGGGACGGATCCAGGATTAAGGTTTTAAACCCCTACCAAAGATGGTACTGGAAAGATTCGAAAGTGTAAAGAACCAATTCAAACCAAAAGCTTAAGCTGTTAGGTGAGGCTATATTAATGGTTTTATATATCTCAACACGCCCCCTCACACGAGAGCCCACTGGGCTTGAAGGGTGGACGATGCACATGCCCACCTACCTGTGCGAAGAAAGAAATTCCACTAGAAAGAAAGTGGGAGGCGGTAAGGATTCGAACCTGGTACACCGAGGCTCTGATACCATGTAAAGAACCAATTCAACCCAAAAGCTTAAGTTGTTAGGTGAGGCTACAGTAATGATTTTATATATCTCAACAGAAAATAATATTTCTCTTAAGATAAAGTTATCTCCTAGAGAGATATAAAAGAGTGAATGACATGTGTCAAAAGAAGAAGGAGAAAAATGAATATCTCTCACTTTTTGTATCAACTAAAAATACTTATTTATAAGCCATTAAGATTGATCTAACGGTGAGAGATATGAGTTTTGAATGAAGTCCTTAGTTCCAATTTAGTGCCACCATTGAACGAGGTTATATGTGAAATATTAAACCCTTTTAATATACAAGTCAAAGCATACTTTTAAAAAAAGTGTATTAATTTATTATGGCATTATTGAATATTAATTTTGTTATAGCATTGAATAAAGAAAGCATACGTTAGAAATATCAATAAATAAATAATGAGATTAATGTTTCTTATATTGTAGGAGATAATTTTATCTCCTACATACAGATAAAAGTATGTGGGCCTCATGTGAAATCATGTGAAAAGAAGAGAAAAAAATATGAGGCTCACACATTTTTATATACTTGTAGAAAATAAAATTATCTCCTTCAACATGAAAAACACTAATTCCATAAACAATTGCAAGTAAGGTGGCTTGCCAGTTTTTTTCCCGTAAATATATGACGAATTATAAGGTATTAACATCATGTTCAAACTAACAAGTTGACCAGCATCGGCCTCCTCATAATAATAAGAGTAAATATCATTTTTGGTCCCTGACAATATCTACGAAATCCTTTTTAGTCCCTGGCAATAAAAAAGGACCAAATTGGTCCCTAAAATTATGAAAAAAGGGCCACATTAGTCCTTATGTCAACTCCTCTGTCACTAACGTGGCCCTTTTTACATACTGTTAGGGACCAATTTGGTCTTTTTTTATTGCCAGGGACTAAAAAAGATTTCGTAGATATTGCCAGGGACCAAAAAGGGTGTTTACTCTAATAATAAACAATTTCATGAAAAATTAATTTACTGTTAGGGAACATTTGATAGAGGAAAAAATTTATTTTATCATAGAAAAACAACTACTAGGAAAATGGTGGAAAAATTATTTTTCGAGAAAGTTAAAAAGAAAATTGTTTGGTAAGTCAAACTATTACCGGAAAAATTTGGATGTAAAATTGTTACAAGTTTGAGTTTGCTGGGGAAATCAAAATACCACCATCAAGGTGGTATTCCCAAATGGGCATTTTCCTTCATTTTTACACTACAAAAGTTTCCCTATCAAAAAAAATTTCCTAGACAAATTTCCCCTACTGCATATCAAACATGATCATTTGTGAATCTCTTCTATCACTTTCCTACCATTCTAAAAAAAATCCACCTACCAAACACTCCATATATATATATATGGGTTATATTTATCTCATTCAACATGAGATAAATCAATTTCCTACACACACATAACAAAGGTGGGTCTCACCTTTATTTTATCTCTTTCCAATTATTTGTGTGTCCATTTTATAATTTTGTATCACTAACATGAGGTAATCTATCTCCATCAACATAAGAAAAATATTTCCCTAATATATATATATATATATATATATATATATATATATATATATATGTTATAAAGATAATCATGTGTGGGACCCACCCACTTATAGAAAAAAAAAAAAGTAACACGGAAAGTGATGTATGTATAGGAGCAAAAAACACTCTCCTACAACATAAGAGTATATTTTTTCTATATATATGGGTTTTATAAAAGTTATGTTGTAGGAAAAGTGATTGTATTATGTTATAGAGATTCGTTTTGCATGTCGTAGTTTTTTTTTTCTTCAAAATATGCGAGCCTCACAAAATATTGTATGTGTAAGAAATTTTTTGTGGTCATGTTAAATTTTTTGTCTACAGCTACCCCTTTTTCAAGCTATATCAAAGTTTCTAATCAAAAGAGTAATGAAGACACACCACGATTGTCTTTAAACTTGTCCAGATTTATCGTACTTTGTGATAACAACAAAGCTGTTCTTTTTTTCTCTTTTCTCAGATATTGTCGGCTGACGTGGCAGAGAGAGAAAATGCAATTTTAATGTACGACCGGTCATACTTAGTAAAAAAAGGGCAACTGTAGAGAAACTTATCTAAAGTGACTGTAAAAATATTTTTTCATATATATATATATATATATATATATATATATATAACCCAAATAGAATGTTAACCCAATAGCAAAGTCAGGTCAACATGTCAATGATCCAACCACATGTTCGCAATTAAAGCAAGCATGGATGTGACTTTAGAATTTGGAGCAATGTGCTATAACAGATCTTTTAATGTCCTTTAATCATTTCACTTATTTTAGTTTTTTTTTTTTTAAAACAAAAACAAAAATCATTTATTATCTTTGTATGTGGCTAAAGGCGTTACAATGAATCACCAAATTAAATTGGAAAGTTATCGATGATAGCAAAATTATTAATGGGTCTAGGAAGAAGATACTAACCCTCTGTGGTAAGTTCCAGACATAGTCACAACGCCAGAGTTGTGGCTGTCCAAACTAGTTTGCCAAACTAAGTCACCTGTTGATCTTTTGACAGCAATAACAACAGCAGGGCCATATATTCCAACTATGAGGAGTTCACCTGCTATGGTTGGTGTTGCCCTTGCCACTGTCCAGTTAACACCGGGTACAAAGCCTGTTGCATTTAGGCCTGTTAACTTGTGCAAGTTCTGTTTCCACACAAGTGATCCATCACATGCTCTCACTGCAAAAATGTCCCCATTCCATGATGGAAAATAGAGAGTGCCATCGAAAATTGCTGGAGTTGCAGTTATGTCTTTGCCTGCAAAGAATTTCCACTTCAAACTTAGGTTGGAAACAGTTTCAAGGCTGATCTTGTGTTCCTTGCTGGCATATCTTCTGTTGTATATATCTCCACCATGGTTTAACCAATTTTGTATCATTTTTGTTGACTCGGTTTTGGGTTCCTCTGGGGAAAGCCTGTACTGAAATCACTCAACAATTGCAAACTCAGTTTAGTACATTATAGTAGTTAGTAGTCAAATCATAATCAACAGTAGGTCTCATAAACTTCATGTACACAAACGTAAATGGAAAAGGGAAAATGATTTTTACACAATTGCATAATTTTTTTTTTTTAACACTTGCTTGTTTGGGTAAAAAGAAAGTGCAGGTATATTAATGAGAAGTATGTTTCTCTTGGTCTATTACACAAAAGAACAAGGTAAAAGAATAGCATGCAAATTACTTTCTTGATGGAAAAAATGTGAAGGAAACGTATATAGAGTACTGGAGGCTTACATCAGAACCTTGGGAAACTGAACTTGTTAGTAGACATAATACAAACACAAAAACAACAAAAGTGGAGATTTGTTCGAGCGGTGACATGATGTTGGGAAGTTGGAGATGCATCATAGGTATAATCGTGTTAACATTCAAGAGTTTCCACGTTTTGACATATCACTAGTCTAGCTATATATATATATATATATATATATATATATATATATATATATATATATATATATATGGTTTAGGGTTATCCTGACCCATATATATATATATATATATATATATATATATATATATATAATTATAATGTACAATTATTTTATGATAAAGCTATAAATGAAAAATTATGGCTCTGTTTTAATACTGTTTTCAAAAACAGGTTTTTAGTTTTTAGAACAAAAACATAAAAAAAAACTCGTTTGGTAAGGCTTGTTTTGTAAAAGAAGTTTTAAAAATTGTAACTGTTTTTTTTGTTTTTAGAATCAAATTTAGAGAATGTCTGAGTTGTTTTTGTTTTTTATTTTGGTTTTTAACTTTCAAAATAAAAAAAAAACATAGAAAACAACTGTTTCCATAATTATTCTACAAAACAGTTTTAAGAACAAAAAAACTAAAACACAATCAAACAGACCCTATATTTTTCCTAATTTGATTTTTTACAATGGTAATTTTCAACACGTTTCACTCACAGAATACAATAAATTCTAGAGTAAAAATCTTTTTTGATCTCTAACAAAAAATACGGTCTCCACTTTAGTTCCTTACAAAAATAAATTAGTCAGTTAGTCCCTAACAAATTCAAAGTGGATCACTTTTAGTCTTTTTGTGGGACTAATATGGGTCTTTTTCGAATTTGTGAGGGACCACGATTTCAACTAAATGGGTCCATTTTGAATTTGTTAGGGACTAACTGACTAATTTATTTTTGTAAGGGACTAAAATGGGGACCATGTTTTTTGTTAGGGACTAAAAAGGGTATTTACTCTAAATTCTATTTGAGTCAATCCGTTTTCAAATTCGTGTTAGCCAAAATTGATATAAAAATATTTATGCCGTATCGTGTGTCAACTTGCGAACTAGAAATTATCCTACTTTAATCTTCTTACATATTATTTTTGTTGTGTCGTTTTATAAACAGGACATTAATTCATATCTTATTATGTCATATCAACTCGCATAACAAGTAACATATTTTGATTTTGAAATTTTACTTTATGTTGTATCGTGTCAACCTGCATAATAAACGACACATGTTAAATTTGTAAATTATTAGTGTCGTGTCATAATAACCCATGAATAAGCGGATTGTATTCCTATAAAAAATTTAACCCAATTTTAAATGCTTATCTATTTCGTGTCAAATGTATTCGTATCCCCCAAATTATTCTTCCTAATTTTCCCCCACCACTTGGCTCACCTCAAACTGTTTAATAATCTTAGTACTTTCCATGTTATGTTTTTTTCAATTTTTTTTTTAAGATAGTGCCTCTATTCTTGGTATATTATATCCATTCTAGATCCGCATTTGCTTGTCGATGAATTGACTCAAATTAATTATCATCAAGTTGCTTAATGGATGTATTTATTGATACTGAGTCTATGAGGATTTAATATTTCATTCCCTTTCACCCCAAAAGACAAACTTCTTGGAAACCAAATAATAAATAAAAAAAGGCGGCTTTTATATAGCAATACACGTAGAGTGATGATAAGGGAACTGCTATTAGTATTTTGCAATATGTATTTTATTAGTTTTAAAATAGTTACCTTTAAAATTTTATACCAAAATTCATAAAATTTATAAAATATTTTAATCTTTAAAAAACATATAGACATTAATTAACATTACTTCCGTCACAGATTAATAAATTCTCGGTTACTAAAATTATTTTGCATAGTAAGTTGTAATCTAACAAATATTGTGACAAAGATTAATGAAATACTCAATCACTAATGCAATATACTTTCACAAAAGAAATAAAACAAGTAAAATTAAGACAAAATATTTTCATAGTAAATTCCAAAATTAAATCACAAAAAAATTGCAACGAGAGAGAAGTCATAACAAAATATTTTGGTTGCAAATTCAATCGTTATTTAATTGAGCCTGGATTTTTTTTTTATCCCAGTACTACCTATACCTAGACTGTATGAATTGGTATTTCTATATATTTTATAACAGATTTATATCCTTTTTGTGCTTTATAATACTCATGGATACTGAGGATATGCTTTAACCACCTTTTAATCTCATGAATTGTGCAGTCCCATGCATTTATTGTTCACCATTTTGCAGGCGCAACTCCATCGACAAATGATGAAATGAAATTCCCTGATGCTACAGTTTTCTCCTTTCCTTTTGAACAGCATTCATTGCCATAAATGAAACGAAAGGTCACCGGTTTATTGCGGCACCTTAGTTTTTTTTTTTTTTTTTTTTTTTCCCCTTTTGTTAAATACAAAGGCTTGCATGATTATCATGTAAGTCTTGACTATTCCAATTATTTTTCCCTCATTTATACAAAAAGGATAATTCATTGGACATACAAGAGAACTAATACATATAAAGAAAAAAGAGTTAGCTTTTTGTCATATCACGTGACAAGAGCATTTTACCATGTACACATAAATTAAATGTAGATTTCACACTTAAAAAAAAATCAAGATATAAAATCGTATCTTTATTGCGGGAATCTGCAATATGATTCTTATATTTTGCAAAGAAAAAATCACAAATCTCCGCAAGATGCAGAAGCTAGCAAGGGAATAAAGCTGTTGTCTAAATCTAAAATCAAAGGGGGTGGACATTTATCTGCCATGCTCGGCCGAGGGACCGACACATGAGTCGACTGAACACATCATAAGTATCTCTTAATACCCATTTCATATAAATTAAGATTCTCTTTGATTGTTTTCTAATTTTTTTTTTCTTGATTAAAACTGTTTTGTAAAATAGTACATTGAAGCGTTAAATATAATTGACACAAGTGATAAGGAGTTTGTGTCCTTTAATCAGAAGTTTCTAGTTCAAACTCCAATAATGAAAAAAATAGTCTTGATAAACCGGTTGAAGAGACTAAAAAGAAATATAATTACGGAAACATGTGTAAAAACAATTACAATTTTTAAAATCTTTTTTATAAAACATCCTAATCAAACTAGTTTTTTTTCTGAAAACTATAAATATTTTTAGAAAAAGTATTCAAACATGGCCTATATTTCTTTGATGAATAATTATCTTACCTAAAAACTTAAAGTGGTTAAGTACGGATCACACTAATATATTTATATATTATTTCGCTAACACAAATCCATCCCAAGATTCCTCTAATGTATAGGCACACCATATTAAAAGTATAATTTTTTTTTAGGGATTGAAATATAGAACATGGATTTAAAAATAAAAATAAAAAATATGGTTGTTGAGTATGAACCTATCACTTATCGTAATTATCCTAGTTAAAAACTCAAACTGTTAAATAGGGACCGCGTTAATGATTTTATTTATTATTTCTCAAATCATCATTGCATTGTTTAGGAAACCGTGATAATGACACTTAAGTAGTGTTTGGTTGAGGTGAAATTTTTTAATACTAGGGAAATGTAAATACTAGGGAACTGCAGGGAAAGTGAGTTAGATAGGAAAATTTTAAAAAAGTTGTTTGGTTGGACAAAATTTTACCAGGAAAATTGAATTAAATTTCTGGAATGTGTGTTTGGTTGAAGATAAAATATTGATGGGAAAACTTAATTAAATTACAAAACTATCCTTGTAAAAACATTACAACCTTCGAACCACAACCTTCGATCCATAACGTGTCTTTGTCTTCCATTTTCGCTATCGTCGTTGACTCTTTCCATCGCCTGTCTGCATTAGCCATTCTTATATCGAGCACAGTAATCTTATGCACATCTTCCACTGGAAATGCCGCAGGTCCAATGTCCTCACAATTACCTCCAATGTCTTCACCTGATACCAAACGTGGTCCACTTCTTGGATGATCTAATATGTAAGCTGCAACTTCCCTCAAGGCTCCTTCTCCCACCTTTGTCCCTCTTTTTAAACCTTCACCATTGGATGAACTTGGTAAATCTCGTGGGTTGTTCACAGCCATTGGTTCCTCATCCATGGGCTTGAAAACTGAAACATGCTTCGGACCTGTTGATTAACGAGGGGTAAACTTGTCTTATTTTTCTTCTCCTTTTTCCATCAAAACGGATTTCACAACAATACTGTGGTGAGAGAGGGCAAGTGAATCCGAGATTTTCTTCCATTTTACACTCATCTGTCGATAGCTGGGCAAGGAGGAATGATGGCTAAGGGGAACTTTGTCCTCAACTAAACGTGGAGTTTCAGGAAATCCACTTACACTTAGATGGGATAATTTTCATATGTCCCGAACCAAACACTACCTTACAGAAATATGAGGAGAAATTATTTATGTTGAGGTATTTATGCAGGGTCAACTTCGCCAATCTATTGGGTAGAATAGAATTATAAGATGTGTCCTAATTAGGACAACTTATAAGTTTCTCAATTTTTTTTATGTAACTTCGTCCATGAATAGAATAGTTATGAAAATATGTGTTTTTTTATTTTTTTTATTTAAAAATTTAAAAAACAAAACACAAAATAAAAATAATTTAGACATGTTTTCTAAATTTGTTATTTTAAAAAGAAAAAAACAGTTATAATTTTTTTAAATTTTTTTACAAAACACCCTAATCAAACGAGTTATTTTTTTTTTTTTCTGAAAACTAAAAATCTGTACATTAAGTGTTGCATGCCAAACTTTCTTAGGTGGCGTTTGGTTCGGGATATTTGAAAATTTTCCTAGTTAAATGAATGTAGCATTTTCGGTTGTCCCCATTTGGTGGAAGAGATTAAGAAATTTACCTATCAAATGCTTTTCTCCAGGCATTGTCAATTTTATGTAAAAAAACGACATATGCACAATATAACTTACAACTTTCAATGTACTTTTTTGCAGTAATATTTTACTCAATCAAATAATTTTTTTAAATTTTCTTACCAAACTTACTTTTCTACTTTTTTTTGCTAGTAATTATATTTTTTGGGTACAAAAAATTTTTCC